ATTATGGGGGGGGGTAAATGCATGCCTCTGAATTTTTGTAAATTCTTAAAAATTGTGTCCGTAGTTAGATGTCTCTAGAACAATTTTTAATTTCTTTGTTCTAGTCCTTTAAATAATGTAACAAAGTTTATAGTAACAGTAAACATGACAACCGATTGTAAAAAGAATTGGGAATTTTTTTTCTCATGTAAGTAGATTAACCCGAACAATGAACATCATAAAGACCCGGAATTAATTAACAATTAATCAGATGACTTTACAATATAATTTTACAAATATGATTGATGAAACAATTATCATAAAAAATAACTTTTAATTCTGGGTCTTTCTGATTATGATTTATGACTATACATAAAATACCTAAATATTTTTGTGTACATACTGTCTCTGCATGATTATCAAATAAAATATGATAATGTACTTCATCTGCATGATTAACAGGCAAAAATTAAAACTGTATATTTTTTGTCTGCAAACAAAAATTTGATAATGTACTGTATCTGTGGGATTTCTAAACAACATTTGATTATGTACTTTATCTACATGATTTCCGAACTTTTGTTGTTTTTATAAAACCTAAAAATATCATCAGTCAAGTTCTGAAGATTAATTGACGAACTTCTGATAGGTTTGGAACAGGCAACTTAATTATACCCAGTTATACTGTATATACAATACACTGCAGTATACACTTTACAGGCTGTATTGGCTTCTGGTATAAAGAGTCTGTTTAAGTAAATGTGTAATGTGTATTTAATTTCATGGCGGAACTTTTTTTTCAATCTGAGGCCATTTTTCTTCTGATAAGAAATCTGGAATTCTTTGAAAATAGAGAAACAAGAAATTCTGAAATTCTTAGAAAATAGAGAAATAAGAAATCTGTAATTCTTAGAAAATAGAGAAACAAGAAATTCTGTAATTCTTAGAAAATAAAGAAATAAGAAATTCTGGAATTCTTAGAAAATAAAGAAAAAGAAATTCTGGAATTCTTAGAAAATAAAGAACAAGAAATTCTGGAATTCTTAGAAAATAAAGAACAAAAAAATTCTGGAATTCTTAGAAAATAAAGAAACAAGAAATTCTGGAATTCTTAGAAATTAAAGAAACAAGAAATTCTGGAATTCTTAGAAAATAAAGAAACAAGAAATTCTGGAATTCTTAGAAAATAGAGAAACAAGAAAATAAAGGCCACTAGCCTTTAATGCTGGGTTTACAAAATCGTATATATTTAAAAAGTTAATTTTTGGAAAACACTCAATCAAGAAAATGATATAGATGTTTTGTAACGTGCTGAAAACTTCTAGTAATTATTGAGTTTATTTATCCGAGCACTGAACTAAGAAGACGACTTTAATATTAGTTGTTAAGAAAACAATACTCATTTATAGAATTATATTTTAAGACATTTATTTTATAAAAAATCTTTTGGAATGAAGTATAACATTTAAATTTATAAATACTGTTAATCCAATAGAGCACACAAAGACATTTATTTGTATAAATGATTTTACGCAATAGTGAACACACAGATGTATCTTATGAATACTCTGAAGTAAAAGTTGTACACACAGATATTTATCTTTATAAATAATCTTAAGTAAGTGCAGTACACAAAGGCATTCTCTTTATAAATACTCAATTAAGTAATAGTGTACACACAGACATTTATCTTTATAAATACTCTAAAATAATAGTGTACACACAGACATTCTCTTTATAAATACTCTGAAGCAAAATAGTAGGCAAAGACATTTATTTTTATAAATACTCGTAAAGCAATAGAGTACATAAAGACGTTTATATTTATAAATACTCTTATAGCAATAGAGTACAAAAAGACGTTTATTTTTATAATAATTTATGTGATAAGTACACAAAGACACTTATGCGATAGAGTATTCACAGGCATTTATTTCTATAAGTAATCTTATGCAATACAGAGTACACAAAGATATTTATCTGTATGAAAATTTATGAGATGAACATAAAAAACAATTTTGAAATAGAATACACAATCTAATGCTGTCCAGTGTCCATGACACTGTAAATACTACAACATATCTGTTTAAACAAGCTTTAAAGTTCTGTACTTTTTATCAGTAGAAACAATGTATACAGTACAGTACAGTACAGTACAGTACAGTACAGTACAGTACAGTACAGTACAGTACAGTACGGTACGGTTAAAAAAGTCTTTTTATTGTATAAAAAAATCTTTATTTCTTGATCCAAAATCCTAAAGATTATACAACAAAAACAATCCAATATTTCAGGTTTAATCAATAGCCATAGAACTTGAAAATGCTACATTGAATAATTAAAAGAACTGTAAGCGTAATTTTATGTGAATTTCCATGCAAAGATGGTAATGCCCGATTCACATCGATGCCCTTGAAACCTATTGATCAATAATATGGAAGATATTGTCGTTTTTCTAGGTTTTAAAGTAAATTCTGACAATTCCTATATGTTTCCCTGTAGTAGAAATGCAAGTCACTATTGTAGCACAGCTGACCTGAACCAGAAGTGGTTTTACTAAAAGGATCAAGAGATCTAAAAACATATTTGGATCCGAGGAGGTCTTCTGATTTCAGATCAATTTTCATTCAAATCCTAGGAGTAGCTTCCCATAGCTATAAACTTTTAAATTACTTTTTTAACTTTTCATCCTGACTTCTCTATTAGAATCATGGTTTCAAACATATTAAAATTATATATTTTCTTTTTTTACCATTATTTAGTTTCAATTAGAACTTTGCCTTATTTCTAAAGAAATAGAGTTTTTGCCATAATCTCAAATTTTCTTATTCCTATATCTTTGCAACCTTATGGTATAAATCTTTGTAGACTAGGTTTTGCCCTCACAGGCACAGTCCTTTCGAACAAAAAAGGGTGATTAAAATCACATGGGATGAAACCTGTCCCAAGCAAGGAGTATGGAATAGATGGGAGATACAAATGACGCGGCCCGCCCTACCATATTATTATATACATGCTTTGCAAACGGTACTCCATTTAAATAAGAAATATTTGTCTGATGTTACAAGTACTGCGTATACAATAACCTATTCTGAATTTCTGAATTTCTTATTCAAATGTATCTCCTTTCTATTCCGTACTCCTTTTTCCCAAGTCAAAGCTGTATGTCTATTGTTCTTCTTGGTAGTTGTAGGCCATTTTTTGGGACACCCACAATTAAACGTCACTACACGCACCTCTGCCCCTTTAGGAAAAGTAAATTCAACCTAAAGTCTGACCGCGTCAACCTTGTTGCACCGGCTAGTCTTACTGAGTGTTTGCTTTATTTACCCAATGTCCGGGAAATACAGTACAAACTGGGACTGGAAAGGTTGACCAGGCTCGGAAATTCAAATGTACTACGGCTGCCCGTGACTATGCGATATCTTTTTTTCCGCACAACATACAACGGGTTTAAGTTTTAGTTTTAGTTAAGTTTTAGTTTTAGATTACATGGAACTTTATTAACAGTTTTGGATGGGATGATCTTGACCCTAACTCGCTCTGCTCGCGTTAAACAGACACAAACGTGTTTTTACTCTTTCAGTCATAATGACCTCAATTGACCTTTGATTGAATATGTTTTTCCTATACTAAAGGGTGAACCTAAAAAACCCACACATAATACAAATTCTTCTCTAATTGTTTAATGCATTCTGATTCAAACAGTTGTATTGGATATATTTTAGTGGTTATATATATATTTCAGTATTTGGAAACTTTTAGTAGTCTTCCTTCTGGATTTGACGACCTTCTTTGTCTATATCAACTTGTAGTCGGTGGGGCAGAGATGCCATCAAATGTCTACATAGGGCCTTATCATCGTCAATCTCTCTCCATGCTGCAATGATGGCTTTCTTCAGCTGTTGGTCATTAGAGCATTCTTTTTCAGCAACCTTTCCCTTAAGAATACTCCAAACATTTTCTATTGGCCATAAGTAGTGATTTTGGCACTGAAATCAGTATTGATGATCTTTCCCCACTTTCTGTCATTCCTCATTCTTCTCCCATAAACACTAAGGAACATCCTTGCACACTCCACACGCCTCTCCTTATGCTCATCTGACATTTTCTGTGGTATGCCTTATATCCATATTTTTTCATGATTCTTACAACTGATGTTTGAGAGACTCCAACTCTTTTAGAAACAGACCGGGTACTCCTGCGTTCCTTATTGTTCATCAGTCTCTTCACCTGGGCAATCTTTCTTCCTGGAACAGAGGGTCGTCCGTTCCCCTTTAGGTGATCAGCAGAGAACCCATGCTTTGCAAACTTCTTCTTCTGGTAGACAACAAAGCTTCTCAGGCTTTCTTTTTTGATTGCATTGAGAGTGGCAGGACCGGGGACTGCACCAATATACAGCCACTTTATTATTTTACCATCACTGGCATGTGGCTTTTTCTGGAGATAGGTCTCTATCTGTGATTTCAAGATGGATTTAAGCTTTTATCCATTTTTTCTTGGTAGATCGACTATCAACTGGTCCCAAGATAGTAGTTTTGCGGATTTTCATTCATTATTATATGGATTTTCTTAGTAATAATCCAAAAAATCCGTTTTGTGTGTTTTTTTTAGGTTCACCCTTTACAAGGAAAGTGTATTTAAGCCATGGAGTTTATCATTTAAACCATGGAGTTTATCATTTAAACCATGGAGTTTATCATTATAACCATGGAGTTTATCATTTAAACCATGGAGTTTATCATTTAAACCATGGACTTTATCATTATAACCATGGAACATTCATTTGATTTATGGAGTTTTACATTTAAAACAAAGAGTTTTTCATTACAAATAATGGAGTTTATCATCTAAACCATGGATTTTTTTATACAATCCTTGCATTTTATCACTTGATTTATCTTCTAAACCTTGGAATTTATCACCAAAACCACGGATTTATCATATAAACCAAGGAGTTTTACTTCTAAACCTTGGGGTGAAAGGCCTGTGTTCCACTAAAATTTCAAAAGTAAGAAAACACCAACAAAAATATGTTCTTTGTAGTATAGGAATAACATATTCAATCAAAGGTCAATTGAGGTCATTATATGACTGAAAGGGTAAATATCATCCCATCCAAAACTGTTGAGAAAGTTCCGTGTAATCTAAAACTGTGATAAAACACGTTGTATGTTGTTCGAAAAAAAAAGATATCACATAGTGAAGTGACGTTTTATTTATGCATTGTGGTTGTCCAAAAAATTGTCTTTAACTACCAAGAAGGAGCAGAACAAAGGTCATCCAACAGACATCCAGTTTTCACTTGTAACTGGTCTCATCCCATGCAATTTTAATCAGCCTTTTTTTTCGATTGTGATGGTAAAACCTAATCTAAGTTTGAAATAACAAAGATTTACACCATCAGGTTGTAAAGATATAGGAATAAGAAAAATTGAGATTATGGCAAAGTTCTAATCGAAACTAAATAATGGTAAAAAATGAAAATATCAAACTTAAATAGGATTTAATGAAAATTTATCTGAAATCAGGAGACCTTCTCGGATCCCAATATGTTTTTAGATTTCTTAATCCTTTTAATAAAACCTACTTCTGTTTCAGGTCAGCTGTGACGTAGAGAAACCCCAATTAAAAATAATCGGGTTTTCAAAATTATAAACATGGATATCTAATTCATACTAGATAATCGTGTATTGCCATCTTTGCATGGAGGGTCACTTGAAATTATGCTTACAATCTCTTTAAAGTGCGCCCCTTACTTTCCCTGAGTGTATTGTCAATATGTATTTAAACCAACTGTTGAGGGTTTATGACTTTGCTTTAAAGCACTTCCAGACTTAGCATTTCTAGTGATGGTACTTAGTCAACGGTTTGCTTGATTAAACATAGATTTAAAAGTTTATAACAAAATATTTATAAAAATAAGAAAAATAATAAACTTTGTTCTAAATTTTACATGAAGGATTCAAATATTTAACTGTAATCTCTAGTATGATGGAAGCATATACATTATCTATATATATATATGTTCCCTCTGGCCGGTCAAACGGCTGGACCGAATGGGCTGACCTTTGTTGTGGACACACACGGGAAGTCTTTGGGTGACATAGGCTAAAAAAAATCTAAATTTTTTCTTACTTCAAAAATTCGAACTTTTTAAAACAAATTTTTTTTCCTTCGAAAATCCAAAAAAAAATTCTAAATTCGATTCTCAAAAATTCCACGGGCAGTGCCGGGTCTTTTAGCTAGTTATACATATTTAGAAACATTATCTAAAAAACCGTCAAAAATTACATATTGCTCCAAAATAAAAGTATAATTCGTTGTTCTTTTATAAAACAAAATCTGCAATGAATGCAATAGGGTTTTTCTGGTGGCCCGTTCCGTCTGTTTTTCACCGGAAATACTTTATTGTGAAGTTTAGGTTGGAGCGAGCTTCACCGAGGCAGGTTTCCTTCATCTGTTATTGTAAACTTCTAAAACTACTACAGTAGGGTCCGGAGCTAGGGGTCGTACTGAGAGGTTAGATATCAGGGTTGTATTTTAAACACAAGTTACCTGGTATCCTTAATAAAACATTTTTTAAGATAATGTGAATTGTTACTTAAACTTTTCAATGTATTTAGATACTAATCTTAACAAAGATGATAAAAAAATTATTTTATTTCAAACGAAAAGACAACATTAATTTCTAACTTTGATTGCTCATGTTTCTTATTAAGGTTGAAGAGCAGCATTATTTATATTAAATATTCTACTCTAGAATCTACGAATATTGATGATCAGGTTGATATTGGAGTTTAAAATGAGTGATATTATGTGAAAAAATCTATCCTGGAGACACCTGATAATACCAACTCAAAGTTCTAGAGCAAATGAGCGAATATCCAACCCAACTTTCTGATATCCTGGAAACTAACCAGCCCGGGAATGATCTTCTCCAGAGAACGGACGGGTTTGGAATCATAGGTGATGATGAGGATGAGAGAAGTGATGAACCCTTGAAACCTGATCGTGCTGATAGTGGTATATCCGGTAGTGCTGGATCTACTCCGGAACCTGAACTCAGGCTAAATCTTGAACAGCATAATCTCCAGCAGGAGAACTATGATATATTTGATCCGCAACCTGCAAAGAGTTTAAAGAAGGAGTCTAAACCTGAACCGGCTTATTTCTCAGATGTATCTCCGGGTGGACAAGAGAGCAAGAGTAGACTAAAACCCCGAATAAAAAGCGTATCCAGAATAAAAAAAGATGACGGGAAAGATGGTTTGTGGAGAAATGAGCGAGAAATCAGGTAATATATATTTATATCAAAATTAGGTAATTATAAACCCTATCCGAAGGACCTAGATAAACCTGGGGAAGGGTTAATTAAACATGAATTCTCGACATGTTTATTTCTGCATAGGTGGCCTGGGGAATCTGAAGAGTATAAAATGGATTGATAAAGCAAAGACCTTGATAATGTTTGATATTCCAAACTAATTATTCCTTTGGGACCGATTTATAAAACTGTCCCATGCGGAAACTAATTTTTCATAAAGTTTACTAATGTCTGGTTCTTGCCTCACCCCTCACTTTAATCAAAGTTTCTCTTAAAAAGTGTATTCCCCTCAAACATAGTGTTTACTGTTTTCTCTTCCAACATTTCTTTCTGGAATTTTTCTCGGCGTAAAAAGAGCATTTCCCTTTTAAAAATCAGAATTTTCATAAAACATGTAAAATTGATCAACTTTAAAATAATAAAAGGGAATATTTCGTGACTTTAAGTGATCGCAAAAATCAACGATTGCAGCAGTGCTCTTAATTACTTTAACTGATACTAGAATTCGTCGCTTTTTTAAAGTCATTAGTATCGGCCAGTCGCACTTCTTTGTTTAGAAATAGAAAAAATTCATAAAGTTTCTGAAGTTAAAAGTTTCCGAAAACATTGATATCTTTTATCAATACTGACCTAAAGCTCTGTTATAAATCGTTAAAGACCCTGTAAACGTGAAACCATGAGGACCACTTAAAATTATTTGGACGAATATTATCTTCTAAACTTATTTGGACGAAAAACTGTAAGTGAATCATTATTTGACCTGGGAATTAAACCGTTATAAATTATAGTTCTTCAACCGATATACCTTGTTTAACTTGAGAACTAAATGAAAGTAAAGATGATTAAAGGGGAAATTTGTTTATTTGGAACAGTTGTATAAAATAGAGGGAAGAGAGAGGGGGCCACTGAGTGGGGTTTTGGTTATTATGCTGTAAAATTTATCCTTGAAAACCCATGGCAATTCAATACGGAGAGGTTTACAGCTTCTTTCCCAGAATATAAAACCAATTAGAAATACTAAATTGCTGTACATGTTTTTTTTTATAACATAATAGAAATAATCAATTAAAATATTTTTCTATGATGATAAATTATGTGTTGAATGCAAGGAGTTTAGGTTAACTTATCTCTTGCAAGAAGGACCGAGCGCTGCAGTCCAAATAAATTAGGAGACCGAGCGCTACGGTTAGGATAGGTTGGTCAGGGGCTGTGACTATTAGACACAATTTACGTGTTAAGTCCTGGAGAAATGTTTGGAGATAATGTACAGGATTTCTTAGCTTTGCACCGATCATGGTATAATTGCTAATGTTACTGTAACAATGTAGCAATGTTTAATTTAAATACTGTAATGGATTAGTGTTCTTTTCTTATTGACGCAAAGATTGCACGAAGTCAGGAATTAATGGTTTATTCTTGAAAAACTTGAAGCAAAAGTGCATTTATTGGTATAATTTAAATATTTGATTATTCATTTAAAAATTCTTAATTTAAGATATCATAATTGTACAGTTAAGGTAATGATACTATACATTAAAAACATAATGATTGTGCTTAATAAGCACGTGCAACTTTATACTACACAATATATTTACGTTGCGTACTAATACAATCATAATAAGCAATTAAACATTGTTTCAATGTGTATTTTGTGTTTTTAAAGGGATAACGTTCATGTAGCCTTTTTGATAGAAAGATGATACTTAATAATTTTATTCCAAAAAGCCAGGACATACTTAGATCTAGTTAGTTTTTCGTGTAAAAAACAGGACCAAATTATTAATCTATTAAGTATTTGAACGAATGTGGGATCAGTTAAATCCTCCAAAAGGAGACCATCGGTTTATCTTATTTGAATCTTATTAAATCATTAAATTCACACCAGTTGCAGTCCATTTGCCATCTTGAACGCATCTCGAGTCCTATAAAAACAGAACAAAATATTTTACGGGTTTTTTGTGTTTTTCACGTTGTTTACGCAATTATAGTTGATCTGTTGCATGACTATTGGAATCAAAACTAAGCCCATGGTTTGCTTGAGAGAGAGGGGGGGGGGTGTACTACCTAGTGGCACTGAGAGAAATTGGGGCTGGAACAAAAGGGGTTTCCATTGATAACCGATATCTTGTTTTCCAAAGAGTATGGTTTTGCATTCAAACTTCAAATTTTCATTTCATTGTTTGTGAAGATAAAGTTAGACCGTTAAAGGGAGTTAGCGCCATTTTCCTTTTAGAGCTTTGTGTTAGTTAAAATTTTATTTTGTCGTAAACCTTAGGTAACCAAAAAGTAAAACTAACACTAGCAAGCATATGCCTAAAAGTATTTATTATGATGTTTTTATAGTATTATTATTAATCTTTACAAGTCAGCTTTAAAATACTTGGTTTACTCAGGTTTCGAGTGCGACCATTTAAACAAAATTGATCTTTATCAAGAGCATAACTTGAAATTCCATGAACAATCGCTTACTTGTTTTTTACTATTAAAGGTCTGCTGATGAATCTGATTATTGTACTGAACTGAGTAGTGGAAACAGTACAGTACAACACAAACCCTTCAATATATCTGTGCCAAAGTCAAGAAACAAAATGGAAACCATTCTTCAAACTTCGAATACAAAGCAAACTAAATATAAGAACAGAACAAAGACGACTTCATCTGAGAAAAGTAAGTTCAGTTGAAAGAGAGAACAAATTAGAACTTATCAGTTATTATTTTTATTTATTTTTGTTGATTAATTCATTTAAAATTTATTTTATTTGATTCAACCATAAACTATTTATAACAATCTCAAGAAATATATGCTTGTTTCATATATGTAAAGTGTACACTGTACATATATGTACAGTGTACACTGTAGTACAAGATTTTAAACCATTTCAATACGAAGAGCTAAGGAATGTTTTCACGAGTGAATCAGAAATCAGAACTTTTGTATTGTAAATCTCAGGATCAGACATTGATCTCTATCTTATGCAGATCTACAAATAAAGGAATTGAGTCTTTGCAACAAAATCAAATATTTAAACCTCAATATCTTTAGAACCCGATGTTGTAAACCTTTGATATTTCAAACTCAGATTATTTGATCTATAACAGAATTCATAGTTTGAAATATCTAAGGTCTGCAACATTTAGTTCCAAAGATATAGAGATTAGAAAATCAGAGTTTGTGACAAAGACTCAATGCCTTTAGTTCCTCTTTGATATCCCATGATTTCTTATCCTTCATGAATATTATTAATTCAATGGTTTAGAGCATTGATCCTCAATTTTAAGTGCCCAAATTGGATATTAAGATCAAGCGCGCGTTCAAGATTAACAATATTCTCACAAAAGTTCCAATCTTTGATCAAACTACAATATTCTGAAGTCATTTAATATTTTCCTTTTAGGTAGAAAACCTGAACTTTTCCACGACGCGAAACAAATAGAAAAGGAAAGAAAAAAAATGTTCCAGAAAAAGAGATTAAAGACTAGAGATAAGGATCCTGGTCTGGAGCAGAGTATACCGGCTCCATGGGAGATAGTACCTCCAGACCTGAAACCTGTTCCATGGAAGCTACCTCCTATACCACCATTGAACCTTGGGTTGGAGGACAAGGATGCAATCAACCTGGATCAAAGAACTAGGACAGGTAATTGTTCTAACGTTGTAAATATGTTCAATGATTGAATACAGATAAAATACGATTTTTCAAACATATTGAATAAAAACATTTCCCCATTTTTTTCCACAAAACAAATGATTTACCAATTTTTCACCCTAAACTAAACTTTCGGTGCCTACTATATTGTAGCACTCTGACCAAATAAATAGTGGACTTAATGGAGAGTGGTTTTGGAAGACTATAGGAGCAACATTAAAGGGCCTTAGTTGCCTGCTTTTGCTAATGCTAGCAGGCTCATGTTTTGGTATATTTTTGAATACCTGACCCATTGAACTGGATATAGATTTAGCAAGAGTAAAATTACGCACATGTAGCTAAAGCAATGTTAATGGGTTGAAATACATCCATCTGATTCAAGAATCCTGGATTGCTTCTCTCTTCACTACTTCAGTACTAACTGTTAATAATGTAAAATAGATTTAAATATAATTGTGGAATCAAGTTTGAAAATCACGTTTCATAACATTTTTTTATTTTTACTTTTAGTCAAATTTTTTTTAACTTTTTAAGAATTAGTATAAGAATATTTTTTCTAACTATTTGAACCAATTCTACTAATTCATGTTTAAGTTTCCCTTTGTTTATAATTTGCTAAGAATTGTGCTAATTTTGACACAGCTCTCTGCAGAACTTTACTAAACTAGATTTTGCTGCAAAATCTCTGACATTTTATATTTTACAAAACTTAAAGGGACTGTAAGCGTAATTTCAAGTGACCCTCCATGCAAATAAGGGCAATATAAGAATTACAGCGGTATACTTAAATATAAGAATTACAGCGCTATACTTAAATATAAGAATTACAGCGGTATACTTAAATATAAGAATTACAGCGGTATATACTTAAATATAAGAATTACAGCGGTATATACTTAAATATAAGAATTACAGCGGTATACTTAAAAGCTGTGTTCGATCAAGTATGAATTAGATATCAATGTTTTTGTTTCTATAAATTGTTTATTTTCATTTGCGGTTTCTCTGCGAAAGTGCATTGCCCATTCACAGAAGAAAAAACATTTTCGAGTCAGAAAAACGATCAGCTTAAGGTTTTAAGGGTACTGTTGTAAATCGGTAATTGCCATCTTTGCATGAAGGCTCACTTCAAATTATACTTATAGTTCCTTTAAACATATTTAACTAGTTTCAGGGCTGAATCAAAAATAATGGGTTACAAATTATTCAATGAAACTTTTAGGTTTAGAACAATATTTTAAAACTTACGCTAAATTGTAAAAAAAAAATTTGACTAGTTCTGTGTCCGAATTTAATTAATTTAAGCCGCGTCTCAAATCCCCCCAAAACTGGTTTTCTATTGAGCGCCGGCTTGAATCTTGAAAAAATTAATACAAATTTATATGGAACCACCAAAATCTGAGCTGCGGCTTAAATTTAAACCGCGATCAAATTCTTTTAATTCGGCCTCTGCCAATCTAATGTCGTAAACTTTAGATGTTTCAAGCTATGCATTCTGTTAATCAAATAATCTAAGTTTAAAAAATCAAAGTTTAATACCATCAGATTGAGAATATATAGAGACTAGAAAATTGGAGTTTGTGGCAAAAGCACTAATTCTATATTAAAGGAATTTTTATTTATTGAACCATAAACTTGAATTCATAATTTCTTTAACAACATTATAATAGTCTTTCTTTCACATAATCTTTTGTGTACTTTTTTACAAAGGAATTTAGTTATTGCCACAAACTCAAGTTTCTAATCCCTATATCTTTGCAACCTGACATGGTATAAACCTTTGATACTACAAACTTAAATTATTTGATCTAAAATTCATAGTTTGAAATATCAATCGTCTACGACATTGGGTTGCAAAGATATAACAATGAGGAAATCAGAGTTTGTGGGAAAAAAACATCGAGAAAATTTAAACTTTTTCAGTTCAACATATTAGAAAATATATTTGTGAAGGAGATGAGATGGATGAGGATGATGATATATTTGAGGCAGAGAATCTACCTGACTATGCTAAAACCTATGCTCTTCCAAGACGTATGACACGGAGAAAATCTCAGGAACCCATGGAACCAGAAAAACAAAAGAAAATTGTATTTATTATATCTACATTTTTAAGCATTTTGTTTATTAGATAATTCAGGGTGTTAAATTGAAATAAGGCATAGTTTTCAAATTGACATAAATTTTTACTGTGAGTGTACAAAAGTAAGAAAAAAAAGTTTATTTCCTTTTTTATCTTTGTTTTGCATTTTGTAGAAACCGATAACATAGCTCATTAAATAAAAGCAAATTTGTGAAGCCTATAAACCTGAAATTCGTATAACTAGTCGGTTAAATATTTGAAAATTTGAAACTTGAAAATTGTTGGTTACAGTTATTACAACTATGGCTAGGTAGATCTAAGCTAGAGTTTATGAACTGACAACTTATGACGACTAACCTTAGAATATCTGACATTATATTTACCATGAAACTTATTTTTTGGTATTCTAACTCTAACTTTAAGGTTTTAAAGACATTATGTCACTGGCATTGAACAGGGTTTCCCACAAATGACGAGACTTCAGAGACGACTGTACAGAATTTTTGGCAAATCATTAAATAAGCTAATAAAAGACTATTTTCAAATCAGAAGATTTAATTTAAATTTGAAATATTCATATTTTAAGAGTTTTACGTCGTCTTTACGTTGTCATCCTTTGTGGGTAACCCTGTGTACTGTACACTCGAGCTTCGATTCAGGTTTCGTCTAGAAATATTTGGAAGGATATCTTCTTAATTCTTGATCAAACCAAGGTTTAAAGGTACCGTTCTGAATTAGACATTGAAATTAGAATTTAAATAGTAAACTTTGGTTGAACTAAACAGTAAACAACTCTATGTTAGCGTTCAGCAGGTGTTAATTCATAAATTTATATTATGGGGAAAGTGTCCAAACTGTTAAGAAATGTTTCTCAGGAGGCTTTTTATCGTCACACCGGTATTATTTAAAAATAAGCTTCATTGACAGAGGTCGTTCTTTCCAGCGAACGTATGAACAAAGGTCCGTCATATTGACGTCTTTTGGGGCCGTGAAAGGGCTGCCAGACGTCTCACGCAAAATTCTTATCTGATAGATAATTTGTACCCATACAGTCGGTGACGTGATCTGGTCGACCATTGCAATATTGATTTAAGAATAGCTTCAGTAAAACTTTACTAGTACACACTATATAAGCATCATAGTACATTTTATTTTAAATAATTCTATAATTCCATGGTTGATTAAACTAGGATATTTCTATCAGGAAAGGACGATTAGATCAAGGGTATTATCTGAGCTGTTGAAAGTATTAATACTATGATTATTATCACTGAACTGGTAATTCCATGCTGTAATATTGTTTGCTTAGTTTCTTGTGTTTATATTCAGCAACTGTCGATTCTTCATCGTTTTCCTGAAAGTAAAACTTTTCTTTAGTTAATCAATGATGTTTATTCTTACTTTTTTGGTAATAAAACAGGGGTTAAAAAATAAGAAATTCTTAAAGCTCTTTGAAGTTTATTTTTATTTACAGATTTTTGAAATCTACTTCTCGAAAATATTTACGGTTGAAATCATCAGATTTATCAAACCGGGTAAAGAAATTTTGTCTTTGCCTCAAACTCAAATGTTCTCTAATTCTTTGCAATCTGATGCTGTAAACCTTTCATATTTCAAAATCAGATTATTTGATATGACAGAATTCTTAAAATATCTATGGTCTACAACATTGGGTTGCAAAGATTTAAGGATCAGAGTTTGTGGCAAATACTCAAAACCTACATACATCATTTTTAATCGTCCATCTTGTGGATGATAGACGTAAATCCAGTGTGAGCTCTGAATTCCAACTAAGCATGCTCAAAACTTCCCTTAGCTTCGACCCTGGGATTGCAGGCAAAGAGGAAAATAACGAGCGTGGAATACCGCGTAGAAGAAAAAAATCTTTAGGAAATTATCATTTACTTAAAAAATAACACAAAGACGACTGGACTCTGTCTTAGTACTTTTCAATTTTTGCGCCAACGTGTTATGTGTGTATATTTCTCGAAAAATCAGTTTTATCCCCTCCCCTCTTCTTATTTTTTGTATAATATATATGTCTGTGCGGAATGGAAACTTTTTTGTTATGGTTTTATTCGCTGAAAGTATCAAAAAGAATGAAAAAAGTTGCCAATTTTTAATTCCCCCCCCCCCNATACACCACTAGTTAAAATACTTTTCCATGTTTTTGCCAACGGGTTGGTTTCGTCCTGGAAACCTCCCGTGACAATTCTGATTTACCAACTGTATTAAGCAGGATTCAATAATATCGATATTTTACTTTATTATTTAGAACACTGAAGAGTGAGATCAAGTTCCTTGTAAATATTGTCTAATTATGAGATAAGTGAGTGTCACAATCTGTCAACAAGGCCATTAAACTGACAACCAGTCATTCTCAAGTATCCATCCAGCCCTTCCCATAATCCCATGATTAAAAAAACGTCATTGGGACTGAATTTAAGACAAGAATATTTAAAAAAAATATTTAAAACCAACAAAACGGTATACAATGAAAAATTGACATAGTTATGATATAATGATAATATTTAGTTCCCTGTTACGCCGCTGGGGGGATCAAAGAGTACACGGAGTACGTGAAGGAAGGAAACTTTGTACCTGGACCCATACTAGATCCTGAGCTAGGAAATTATGAAAATTTACTGAATAAAAAACAGTTCTGTTCTAGATATCCTGTTAAGGATCATGCTTTTTTGTTTTTTTGTTACTTCTTCCTTTTCTTCTATGTAAAGGTAAATTTTAATCCTTTTTCGGAAGACTCAAATAAACTAAATTTTCGTTCTTCATTTAGCAATGGACTATGAAATCTTCTCTAGGCGGGATACTAGGTGTTCAGGTGAATCAGATCTACCTCGCTCCAAGGAAAAACAAGATTTAAAAATTCAATTGTTTAAACCTTGGACAATAAAACAGGGTGCAAAGTGCATTTATTGTTTATCCCTGCCCTTGGATGCAATTTGATTTCCTTCATTGCAAAATCAACTCAGGTTGCATACTTTCAAATTATTGGAATTTTAAGTGATTTCAGAATACTTGAGAATTATTTCTAAACTGGTGATTTTTCAAGGTTAAATTGATTGCAAACTGAACTTTCATTAAAATATGACGAATTTGAGATTTAAACTTTATACTATTCTTTAATCAAAAGTTTAGATTTTTGAAATACTTATTTTTAAAAGATAATTATTCGGAAATATTGTTTAAGTTCTAGCTAAACAAAATGATTTGTAATAGTGTGCTTTCTAAGAATTAACATGTAGAAAATTCTTTTAATTGTTGTTTAGAGATATTTATTTGAAACATTTTTAACTAGAGCCTTCACTTTTATAATATATCCAGCATCTATGTAATATATATGCATACATTATTCAAAACTTTTTAAACTTTCTAAATTCTCCATAATATTAAATTTTTCTGTTTTTTTATTTAGAAAAATTGAAAATGACGTAAAAATTTTATGTAAAAGTGCGAATTTACAAAAGTTTAATTCCGAATTAATTGCAAGCTCTAATATATTAATTGCAAGCTCTAATATATTAATATATTAATTGCAAGCTCTAATATATTAATTGCAAGCTCTAATATATTAATTGCAAGCTCTAATATATTAATATATTAATTGCAAGGTCTAATATATTAATTGCAAGCTCTAATATATTAATTGAAAGCTCTAATATCTTAAGAACAATTCTGGCATTTGTTTTCCTTTGCAGAGGCTGAGTAAAATTACTTAATATAAGAATAAAAGCAAAACCAATTTCCAAAGCTGTAAAGATGTTATGTCAATCAAATCAATCTATCTATGTATCTACATTGAAACTTATTTAAAATATTGAATGTGTCTTTATCTGGATAAAAATTCAAGTAATTAATTCAACTCAATTGAAAGACCTGTAAAGATATATCCTTCATATCAAATCACACAGATCTAGATCAATTTTAAAAACTGGGTCTATTTTTAAGTATCGCAATCTCTTTGCATTTGATTTTACATTACTAACTCACTTTTTATATATTGTAGACCTAGACATGTACATTTTAAAACTATAACACGTCTCACGCATGTTTCTTACTCTAGTTTATAAAAAGTAATTGTCCATACGCAAATGGATATTTGCGTAAGAAAAATGCAACTTTTGGATTGTTAAAACGATTCTATCTGATCCAACATTTTTGTCCCTAAATCGACAAAAAATTTTTTTTGTAATTCATGTTTTTTATCTTGTTTGATTGTCTAGCCGGAGAAGCGGATATCATTATCCCAAGCTTGTACAGACATATCCGTTCTACTCAACTCTATAGAAGAAACCTACAAGGAAACCAATATGAAAAACTAAAAAAGTTAGAATTGTCCGTGACAGGAACTATTTTTAAATAAACATTATATTGTAAGGGACTACTGTCCGGATATCTACGTAGTTTTCAGGGAAACTATTTACAGAGTTAAATGTCCATTTTCCCTTTTAATAAACCTTTCTCGGAGAAAGAAATCCTCGTTTTTCTCTTGAAAAGAGAAAAATTATTTAAAATTTCTTTCTTGTTTTTGCTGCATAAATCCGCAACTTAACAAGTCATTTAAAAATAAAAACCCACAAAATAATTACAGGCAGAAAAACGAGAATACCTCTGTCAATTTTTTTCTAAACAAAGTGTCAAACCGAGAATCCCTTTTTAAGAAATATTAAGAAAATCCAAAATTATTTCCATCATTCCTAATTGTTTTCAATATCCGTGAATATAAAACTGGAACACAGTCCCCCATCCATTTTTTCAGACATAATCTACTTTCATACCGATTTCTCTGCTGCTAGGAATCAGAGAAGAAGGATAAGTTGGATAAGAAACGGAAGCCAGCAAATGATTTCTATCAGAAGGAGTTAGAGCAGGGGAAGTTTGCGGATTTATTGATGTTTGGGGTTGGGAGCTCCGACTCCTCCGGGTACCAGTCAACCAGTTTATTGGGTAGTGAAGACGACTTGTATTCAGGTAAATATACATTATACTACATGGAAACTTGAGTTATTAAGTCAATCTCCTATCCATTCTTTGACAACAACATTACAACCTTTTCACACACCTTTATTAGATTTATCAAGCATTTATTATACACATGTAAACACAAATTATCTGTTAAATAAAGGAGAAAATGTATTTATTTCTGAAATATTAATATTTTATGTCAATTACTCAGGTAATGCTAATCAGTGTTAAAAACAAATCAGAACTGATTATATTCTCTTCTCTTGAATGATTTAAAATCTTGATTTGTAAGTACTTTGCAAACTTCTCATCAGTTGTCTTGTGTGTAGGAGAAGGACGAGGTGGAGGAGGAGGAGCAGACCTTCTAGATCTTCTTGATGAAGAAGAAAAAACTCCGAGGTTTCAATCTTCGTTCAGTAAACCTGAGATACTGGGAGACAATGCTCTAGATATGTTTATAGATCGACTAAACCCGTACAACAGGCAGGCACATCCTGCTCTGCCTAATGTTATGAAACAGTTAGATGACGTCAGGAAGAAGAGAGGTACACGTACTGTACACTCAACAGTGTTCACTCTTCTAAGGCTTTTACCATCTCACTTCAAAGTTTTTAAAGTTTTTTTTATATTTATACAACAACCGTATGCAATACATATATACATCCAATATTATCCTTAACTAATATTTTTATTTAATCAAGCAAACCTTTGGTCGTATTTTATATAAATGTTTTATATATAGATATATATTTACTCGAATTAGTTAGTATACTATAACATAAAACATTATCTATGATTTTATCAAATATAAAGTATTTAATAATATTTCTAAACAGCATGTTTTAAAATAGGTTTCATGTAATAAACTTCTAATAGCTCATCTCTAAAAAAATGCTACAAACAGTTTGTATTGTTTGTTTTAAGAATCTTACTGTTTTTGGGGAGTAGTTAGCAGGTTAATAAATTATTTGCATGAATTTATTTTAAAATTAGCGTAGTTAGTTTATAATTTAGCGGATTTTTAGCGGATAAGATGAAACTTCAAGAAGAACTGTTCCGTGTGAGGACCCAGAGAAGAGAAGCTGAAGGGCGAAGAGAAAATCTAGTTGGTAGAGCCAGGGTTCTTCAAGCTAGAGCTAACAAACACAAATCAAAGGTAGATTAGTTTTCAAGAACTATAGCTCTTCAGCGTTTATCTCATCTTGAGCTCTTTGGCCGTCTGGATCTCTAGATGATCTGAGATGGAATTTAAAGAATTTAAGCCGCGGTTTAAATCCGCCAAAACCCGGTTTAAATTAAGCGCCGGTTTAAATCTTGAAACATTTCATACAATTTCAAGTGGAACCAACCATATTTAAACCGCGGCTTAAATTTAAACCGCCGCTCAAATTCTTTAAATTCGGCCACTGTATAAAAAAATTTAGGTGTGTTCTAAAATGATGGATCCCAAAAAATGTAAATTTGTATGCAAGTTTGCTGTATTCATCTGTAATTTATTTACCCTGTATGTGTACATAGATCTAATTGTATTCATTCCTTTCAATCAATTGCTCTATAGAAATCTGATAAACTCTACTCGTTTAAGGTTTTTACTAAAACTCAAAAATATTTTTTGTCGAGATCATGTTTATGATAGTTTTAACTTTGTACTGAGTTTATTTCCTTAAAGCTAATTTCAAATTACATCAACTGCAGTTTATATATATTTAGGCTCTACTGGACAATGATAAGGTAAACTTAAAAGTAGGTGTTATAGGGTGTTCCAATATATCTTCAGTTTAACAATAAACTATTGTTTATTTCAAAGATAGATTTTTGCGGAAGTCATTAATTACTTTCAGCTTTTGTAAATATTTTTTTTTAAGTTTTCTGGATAATAACCCCTTCTTTGGTGTAACACTATGTAACACGTTGTACAATTTAATTTTACTCTAAAAAATTTCTTAATTTCACATTCATGGGGGCATTTTTTGCTAAAAAACTGTAGAATATTTTCAAAAACTACAGGGTAGATATATAAGTTGAAAATGTCCATAAAATGTCGTAATTTTATTGGAGCACCCTTCATTTAAATAGATTAGATCAGTTTAGTTGAACAATAACATACGATTTTTGGTGAAGTTTTATCAAATTTTATTATGTCCCTCAAACCAAAAGCTTGTATATAGGGAGTGACTGGCAAGGTATGGTAGTTAAACAGAGAATTATTATTGTGGAGAAAATTTTTAGGGTTCATATGAGACATTGAAAACGTTTTAATAATGTATAATTACTGAGTTTCAAAGCAAAGTCAACATTCCAAATCCTCCAAATGGGTGGTTACGTTTTGAGAATCGACTTTTTAAAATTATTAAATAACGACGACGAAAAAAAAAAAAAATCTGCAGTAAACAAATAAGATGTTTAGGAACCAATTTCTCAATTGAAATTTTATCAATAAATCCACGTATTTCTTTTTCATTGTTATATCGAATTTCTTTTTCTTTATGAATTTGTTCGCAGATTTCTTCAAATTCTTTAAATGTCGTCTTTTCAATCAAAATTTCAGGAAATCTACAGAAAATGTTTGTGAACAATGAGACATTACAGAAACCAATAACTGAATAAGATTACTTATTTTCGATGATAATAGTTTTAAAAACCGATTTTTAAAATCATTCCTCAAAAATTAACAATCGATGAGAATTTTAAAGATTGAATTTGCGCTCTTGCTGAACAAATATGCACCGTAAAAATGTCTCTTAGGTCTCAAATGCTTCCTAAAATATTTCTCCACAATATTACATGCTCAGTTCAACTACAATACATTGCCGGTCTCTACCTTGAATCAAAAATAAAAAAAGAAAATTAGCGGAGTACATTGGTACATTACGCTAAATTCATATTGAAATAACGATGAAGACACAAAACCCAAACTCAAAACGGAAACCCTTTCATAACATACAAAAATAAATAAGTAAGCTAAGTATTAAATCTGAATACTTACCCGGCCCCTTACTACTAGGTTTCACTTATTTGAAACTAATAAGAACTGTTTTTACAAAACTTAGTTAAAAGATTACTTTCGATTGGAATGAAAGAAAACAATGAATTGTCAAATGAAAGATTTAGAGCTTTAATCAAGCTCTATTTTTAAACTGACAATATGCTAGTTTAAACTTTAAATAAGTTTTTGAACAGCAGACAGCTATAAATATAATGCATACATTTTTAAACTGACAATATGCTGAAGTTTAAACTTTAAATAAGTTCTAGAGCAATAGTCTATATAATCGCAAGGGCTCCTTCTGACGTTTTGCCCTATTTCCTAAAGTCTTGAATTGTTTCTACTTCAGACAAAGAAAAGTTTAAATTTATAATTCTTGCACCCTCCCTCGTCTAAACTAACGTTTTCCAATAAGCCCTGTCCAAGTTTGAAACAAGGTTAAGAAAGAACTGTTCTGTAATCCTGATATTAAGTGCTCCGGGGACTATTCTGTTCTCCTGATTGGTTGAAACTACAATGCCCTTATTATTATTCTAACAAAAGGAATATACTTCCAGTGTTTTCCCAACCCTGGAGTAGAGCAGAGAACCATAATAACCATTGCAGTCTAAAATACATACAAGAGTAATGAAAAGTACAATTAATCTGAACACCCAAAATACTGATTAATGTAACACCTAGATATTTTAGTTAGTATTTAAAAATTCGAAATTCATTTTCTTTAAACATGTATCGATTTATTTATATTTTATCTTTTGAACATTTTAAAAGGGTTTGTATGTGAAAGTTCAAGTGATTTTCTATTTTCTAATATGAGAGAGTTATATCACTTTCAACCCAGTTCTTATTTATAAAATTTATAAATTTTTTTTTAAAAGAACTTCATTTTTAAAAGGTCAAACATTTTTCCCAAAAAATGAATGAGTTGCCAACCGATTTTTATTCGGTTTGTTCTCATAATATTTAATAATAGATATTTCATAATTTTAATAATCTCTTCTCACAGGGAAATAGATTTATAACTAATCTCTCAAAAGGTTTAATTAAAGGAACAAATCATTGCATACAACTCCTTAAAGTAGAGTAGACATTTACTTTTATAAAATAATCATTTAATAATCTAGTTTTTTATTCATTTTGAAGTATAATCACGTACTTTTCTCGCCTGTCTTTCTTTGCAATATCTCCTTCTCTTCTTAAATTGATTTTCCAAGGGATTAGCTCTTTTCAGCTCTATTTTCTTCTTGTAATCTTTTCAGCTCTATTTTCTTCTTGTAATCTTTTCAGCTCTATTTTCTTCTTGTAATCTTTTCAGCTCTATTTTCTTCTTGTAATCTTTTCAGCTCTATTTTCTTCTTGTAATCTTTTCAGCTCTATTTTCTTCTTGTAATCTTTTCAGCTCTATTTTCTTCTTGTAATCTTTTCAGCTCTATTTTCTTCTTGTAATCTTTTAGTTTTCATAAACTCTTTGTTTAGTTATCCGGTATGTGGGAGGAGAAATTGAGAGAGGAGCTCACCAAAACAGGACCCTTAGAGCAGGTAAATAGGACCCTTAGAGCAGGTAAATAGGAACCGTAGAGTAGGTAAATAGAAACCTTAGAGCAGGTAAATTGGACCCTTAGAGCAGGTAAATAGGAACCTTAGAGCAGGTAAATAGGAACCTTAGAGCAGGTAAATAGGAACCTTAGAGTAGGTAAATAGGAACTTTAGAGTAGGTGAATAGGACCTTTAGAGTAGGTAAATAGGACCTTTAAAGTAGGTAAAAAGGACCTTTAGAGCAGGTAAATAGGACTCTTAGAGCAGGTGAATACGACCTGTATAGCAGGTAAATAGGACACTCAGATCAGGTAAATAGGACCCTTAGATCAGGTAAATAGGACCCTCCGATCAGGTAAATAGGAACCTTAGATCAGGTAAATAGGACACTTAAAACAGGTAAATACGACACTTAGAGCAGGTAAATAGGACACTTAAAACAGGTAAATATGACACTTAGAGCAGGTAAATAGGACCCTTAGAGCAGGTAAATAAGACCCTTAGAGCTTGTAAATAGGACCCTTAGTGCAGATAAATTGGACCCTTAGAGCCTGTAAATATGACCCTTAGAGCAGGTAAATAGGACACTTAGAGCAGGTAAATATGACCCTTAGAGCAGGTAAATAGGACACTTAGAGCATGTAAATATGACGCGAAGAGAGAGCAAACCAGGACATCAATAAAAATCCAACAGAACCTTAAGAAAATACAATTCAATTATGATTTGTTAAGATATCTGCAATGTTGCAGGAATTGGTTTAGCACCAAAGATATTAGCTGAACTTTCAGCGCTTTAATGCAATAGTTTTTTTCTTGATGTTTATTGTTTAATTAAAGTTTCAAACATTTAATAAACATTGTTATTTATCAAAACTTTTATTAATGCCTTTAGTTGGTTTCAGATCCTGCATTTAATTAATGAAGATTTTGAACCAGGCTTTTCAATAAGGTTTATCCACTAACTTAAAGTTTACAATAGACATTGGTCTAATGGTAAACAATGCAATTGGTTACAATAAAAACATTTACCTTTTTAATTGTGGGGAAAATAATGAGTTTAATCCTATACGCACCAAATTCAGGTTATTAATTGCATAAACAAGGCTTCATCTTAGTTCTAGCTTAGCATTATGTTGCTAAGGTATCTGTAGGCCTTGCTCCTTCTCACATTTGAAAATATTTCGAAGGAAAGATTCCGCTGAGTTTTGTGCTTTCATTTGCAGAAGAATAAAAAGGTTGTTTTTCTTTGGTAATTTAATTTAAATTTTCCCTGAATTTTTACAATAATTTGATCGGTTCAACATTATTAAATACTTATAGCTGGCGTTGCCATACCAACCCTGGGGTACCCATGGATTCCCTCAAAAAAATTTAGCAAATTTGGTCCAACCGTTTCTCCAGCTATAGCTAGCAAATATTTATGAACGAATAATTTTTATTATATAGACTTTGAAAAAATAATTTTATTTTTAAGAAAAAAAAATTCATTTTGGGGGAAAAAAATCTATTCAAAATATTTCAGTCTATTCGGTCCAGCCGTTTGGCCAGCCATTGCTAACATTAAAAAAAACGAGCAAAGAGCTTTGTTTATAAATAAATACAGATTACTTGGCAATAGTTGTAATGTTGATGTTTAATTGTCGACCTTAAATTCTATTTAAAAATTGATTCAATTTTCTTTGCCTTTAAAATAATCTTGTGAATGCTAATATTTGGAAAAGATATTAAACGAGTTAAAACCTTTATGAAGAGAGGAAACAGAACGACGGGTTTTAAAAAGTATTCCTCAATTTTAGGTTTGCTCTGCGCTAAGAGAGGAACTAGATGAACAACATAAAAAAAGATTGGAATCGTTTGAAATCAAGATGAAACCTATAATTATTAGAGATGGTCCCTCTCAGAAGGTTGAATTCTTATTTACTTCAATTCTATTTTAAATAAACCGAAGTATATTAGCTATTATATTCCTGAAGAAATATCAATCATGTAGATATGTTTATTAAAGTATAAGTAACGGAGATATCTTGATCAAAGTATCAATAATGTAGATATTTCTTATGATCATTCAAAGTAGCAATACTAGAGATAATTTTAATCAAACTATAAGAAACGGAGATATTTTTATCTAAATATCAATAATGGAGATATTTTAATCAAACTACGAATAATGGAGATATTTTTCATCATAGAAATCTTTATCATAGTATCAATAATGGAGATATTTTTTATCAAAGTATCAATAATGAATATATGTTTATTTAAGTATTAGTAACGGAGATATCTTTATCAAAGTATCAATAATGGAGATATTTTAATCAAACTATGAATAATGGAGATATTCTTTTAACAAAGTAGCAATAATGGAGATATCCTAATCAAAGTATTAATGATGTAGATATTTTTTGTCAAAGTAGTAATAATGGAGATATTTTAATCAAACTTTAAGTAACGGAGATATCTTTATCAAAGCATCAATAATGGAGATATTTTTTTTCAAAGTAGCAATAATGAAGATATTTTTATCAAAGCATCAATAATGAAGATATCCTAATCAAAGTATTAATGATGTAGATTTTTTTTACCAAAGTATTAATATTGGAGATATCTTTACCAAAATATCAATAATGGAGATTTATTTACCAAAATATCAATAATGGAGATATCCTAATCAAAGTATTAATAATGGAGATATTTTAAGTAAAGTATCATTAATAGATATTTTTTAGCAAAGTAGCAATAATTGAGATATTTTAATCAAACTTTAAGTAACGGAGATATCTTTATCAACGTTTCAATAATGGAGATATCTTTATCAAAGTATCAATAATGGAGATATTTTTTATCAAAGTATCAATAATGAAGATATTTTTATCAAAGCATCAATAATGAAGATATCCTAATCAAAGTATTAATGATATAGATATTTTTTATCAAAGTAGCAATAATGGAGATATTTTAATCAAACTTTAAGTAACGGAGATATCTTTATCAAAGCATCAATAATGGAGATATCTTTATAAAATTATTAATAATGGAGATATCAATATTGAGAATATTTTTATCAAAATATCAATGATTTCTATTTTTTTATCAAAATATCAATGATTTACATATTTTATCGAGGTAATAAATAATGAAGATGTTTTTATCATTAAAAAAGTATCTATATTGGAGATATTTTCTACAATGTATCAACAATGTAAAAAAAGAATAAATCTGACTTATTATTATTATTTTTATTATTGCCAGGCTAATTACAAGATCTCTGCAGCTAAGATTCAGTATGATATATTTGCAATCAGCCAACGTCTTAGACACACAAGCTTGAGATGCGAACATGAGGAGAAGGTGAGTCAGCATTTATTCATTTATTCATTTATTCATTTATTCATTTATTCATTTATTCATTTATTCATTTATATTACTTCATTAGTGCATTTCATTTATTCATTAGTTCATTAACTTCCTTAGTTTATTACTTCATTAGTTCATTTCATTTATTCATTAGTTCATTAGCTTCATTAGTTCATTACTTCATTAGTTCATTTGTTCATTTGTTCATTTGTTCATTTTTTTCATTTGTTCATTTGTTCATAAAACCAATAATTTGATATACATCATGAGGGGGGTGTATATTTTCTAGGGGAGGGGAGTTAAAATTTTCTAGTTGGGGTATAAAAAAAATTCAAATTTTACCCCCACCCCCTAGAAAATCCTTAAATACGCCCCTTGAGAAATGTCCAAAAATCCCTGAAAAATTTACAAGTTAAATTTGGATTTATACTAAGGTAATAATGACCCGCTGAAATGTTGAAATGATTGCAGATTTCCTTATACAATTTTTGTGGATTTTTGTCATTTTTCTTTCAAATATTTATAAAATTTTGGAAATCAATAACAAAAACATTTTTCCAACAATTTGTCGAAAAAAATGTTTCAAAAATATTATATTTTTCTTTTACATGTTTTATTACTTTTCTAATTTCAGATTTCTAAAATCCGAAACAAACAGAAATAAGAAAATTTTGTCCAAAACATCGATAACTCCAGTTTTTTACTTACCCTGCAGATATAGAATATAAATAAATATATATCCCCATTAAATCTCTGAAATCTACTAAATACTACAATTTTCTTTTCCCTCTCACTTCAATTCCCATTTATTTTCATCAAATCCCCCCCCCCCCCTTCAACGCAACCCCCCCCCCCAAAACTTAGCGAAATTGATCATAAGAAATTTCACAAAATCAGGTCATAATTACACAAAATTGAAATTCTGCGTAAATTCGCCAAATTAATTTTGAGAAATTTCGCGAAATTATCCAGCTATTATGCAAAATCAGTTCAAAATTACGCGTAATTTCGTGAAATTTAAGTTTCGTTTATTACGTGTGTTTCTACGAAATTCCGCGAAATTGTAATAATTTCGCGTAACTGCACATAAGTAAAAATGCAATTACGTTTGAAACCCTAATTCTGTCATGGCCCATGACAGAATATGATTATTTTGAATAATCATAAATACATAAAGAATTGATGATATTTTGGAATTAGATGGATTAATAGATTAAAAATAGAAAAGTAGAAAATTGATTGATTTATGAATTGATAGTTTGACTGATTCAAAACTTATTAATGGATTGCTTGATGACGAATTGATGGATTGACGGACTGAATGATATATGTTTTATTTATTACCGCAGTGCTTTTATATTACCCAAACTTTATTACAAAGTTAGTTGATTCTATATTCAACATAGATAGTAGATACACTTCTTATTCATTAATATTATTCAATATAGATACACTTCTTATTCATTAATATTATTCAATATAGATAGTAGATACACTTCTTATTCATTAATATTATTCATTATAGATAGTAGATACACTTCTTATTCATAAATATTATTCAATATAGATAGTAGTGCACTTCTTATTCATTAATATTATGCAATATAGATAGTAGATACACTTCTTATTCATTAATATTATTCATCATAGATAGTAGATACACTTCTTATTCACTAATATTATTCAATTTAGATAGTAGTGCACTTCTTATTCATTAATATTATTCAATATAGATAGTACTGCACTTCTTATTCATTAATATTATGCAATATAGATAGTATATACACTTCTTATTCATTAATATTATTCAATATAGATACACTTCTTATTCATTAATATTATTCAATATAGATAGTAGATGCACTTCTTATTCACTAATATTATTCAATATAGATAGTATATACACTTCTTATTCATTAATATTATTCAATATAGATAGTATATACACTTCTTATTCACTAACATTATTTAACAGTAATTTAACAGTAATTAATTATGATTTATGTTCTGTCATGTTCAATTTTGTTATCTATAAGTATTAAGTAGTAATCTCTGTTAGTTAGTTTGTATTTCCGATTATCTATAAACACAAAGTAGTAATGTCGGATCTCAACATCTTGATTGATTTGCCATAGAATTATAATTGGAGAACTCGATATAACCAAGGAAATGTGCTTAGCTTAAAAATTCTAACTTTAGTGGGTTGACTTATACAGAGAAAAAGAAATTTTTACATTGCACATTATCTTTGAATATTATTTTACATTTCAGAGACGAGAGATGGTTGAGAGAGAGGTTAGACTACTACGAGACAAGATCTCCGATCTTAAAATCCAAATCTCCACAATAACCAAGGGTATACCTATGTCAAAAATAGAACTAAGAGATGACAAAAAACCCGGAGGAGCTAAACCCGACTCCAACCCTACTCCGGCTGCTAAGCTGAGTACAAGCCTGAACACTAGTTTCTCTCCAGGTCCTAAACCTAGTCTCGCGTACCTTAAATCCCAGCAGGCAACTGCTACCCAGATACTGCATGAACAGAAACCAATTCAATCCACCTCATAGAGACAATACTATATACATATACACATAATCTCTACTCTACGCCGTTTAATAGCTCAGAAAGTTCAAAATATTGTAAACAGTTTAAAAAGTGCGTAAATTTCCCTAAATATCATGATGTTATATACATGTATGTAGATTCTTAAATTATGCAAAAATAGTTAAAAAAGAACAGGTTCGTTATTCAAACCCCTTTTTTAAAATGCAACCTTATATTTGCTTTTTTACAAACTTTCTTTCGAGTTCTTTTTCTATGAATATCATACATAAATTAAAATACATTAAAACCCAGAAATAAAAAATTAAAGTAGATAAAAGAAATGACAATTTTTTGTCTTAAATCCGTAACCATTTGACGAGATTATACATGTATCTTTTACCCATTAAATCCTGCATATCCGTCCGTATCAAATTTATCACTTCTATTAATTCCAATATCCTTTACCCCTTCACCTAGCTCATCAGTTCATTTACCCCTCTCCCTTTAATACTCTTCCTGAAACTCTGTATAGATATCAAATAGCATAATCACTGTATTCCCTTAACTTTAATCATTTATTACTTTACTTAAACACTTTCTAGGTTTCTAGGTATCTACTATCTTGTACTCCTTCCCCCTATATTGTACCTTAACCTATTGTACTTCCTTCCTTTGTATATTGTACTCCTTTACCTAAACCTATTGTACTCTTTCACCNAAATTAGATTATTTGATCTAACAGAATTCATAGTTTAAAATAGCCAAGGTCACCGACGTTGTAAATTTGTGATAGGGATTAAAAAAAAAAATTCAACTTCTCATGTTTATCAAATCATTCACTTAGAGTATTCCTGTATATTTTCCAAAATGGGAAAAGGGTTGGATCCAAAAAATTCAATTTAATCTAAATGAAGTTATGTTTTGAAATGTAAAGGCTATATGAAAAAATAATAATAATAATATTAAGGACTTTACTTCGAACAAAGCCATATTGGGTTATAATTACATTATGGTTTATCCAAATATCATTCGATACTGTTTACACAAACTGAATTCTTATATTTGACAATAGTTATGTTTAGACGATGAAAACTAATATAAACTGTGCTCAGAACTTTTAAATTAGTTGATTATAATTCCTACGTTTAAAATGTGTGAGTAAGAAATATATTGTATTTGTTCATGATGTGTAAAAACAACTTTAAGATTTAGAAATCTAATATTTAAAGAGATTTTAGATTCGCCGACATAGGGTCAAATGACATAGGGTAAAATGGCATAGGGTCAAATGGCATAGGGTCAAATGACATATGGTCAAATGGCATAGGGTCAAATGGCATAGGGTCAAACGACATAGGGTTAAACGACATAGGGTAAAACGACCTAGGGTAAAACGGTCAAAAACGCGACAAAAGGTAAAACGACATAGGGTCAAAAAGTGCGACAAACGGGCAACATTTCATCCACACTATTTTTGGTTAATTTGAAATATTTTTATGTTCACTAGAACTAGTATAGTTCCCCTCGGCCCATATAGTTCCCCTCGGCCCATATAGCCTGTTTTATCCCAAAAATTGTCTTAACCTAACCTAGCCCTGAAATAATACATAAATATTCTTTTCCATTTTGACCTTTGTCGTTTTACCCTTTGTCGCGTTTTTGACCGTTTTTCGTTTGACCCTATGTCGTTTCACCCTAAGTAGTTTGACCCTATGTCGGTGAACCCAATTTTTAATAGCCCTCCATTTGAAGTTTTTTTATATCCAATTCACAACGGTACCCTGTAAACCTTTGTCTGATAAAGTATGACGGAGAAATCCGTATTTTTCCATCTGAAAAAAAAACAAGTTCTGAGGAGCTCATACCAATTTTTACTCGAGGTTCCCGGCAATCTATTTTCAGTTAGAAAATACCTCCGTCATTGATGATTAGACCAAGGTTTAAATGGAACCATTTTTAATCGAACAAATTATTTTACAAATAGAGGAGCACTTGAACTAAATTTACGTCTACAGTCCCATATCTCTCCACTAAAACCTGCTATTTCCTCGGTCAGAGAACTGCAAATCACTGCAGTACACACCGAAAGCTTAGTTAAGGGTCCATTGGTGCATAAAGTTTCTTTTACAGTTTAATATTTAGAATAGTGTGCTCCGATGTTTTAGAATCGTTTAAAATTAACGTTCTAGAGGAAAATGTTGATATTTTGTTTTAAAGTTTTAAGAAATATGTATTGTAATAAATTAAATGAAACAGATTTAAGTTGTTCAAGATTATTTTTTTACATAAAATTTATGATATTCAGCGACGAAAAAAGACTTATAAGGAAACTAAAAAATTTTATTTAATAACAAAGTTTAACTTTAAATGATCTAAAAATAAGATTAAAGGGAGTGAATGAAATCTTATTATAATCTCTTTAGCGGACCAAACTCAGCAGGGCCGTCCAGGACGGTTTTTATCAAAGAAAAGTAGTTCCAGTCGTTACAGTATTTATTCGCATGGTTCATCACAAGAACATTTTATTTTTACGATCACTTCCTTTAGCAAAGGTGATAACTCAATAATATATATCATCTAACAATTTATTAACAGTAATGAGATCTTTAAGCAATTCAACGTATCTTAATTAAATATGGTCTGAAGTCCATTTTTTGCATTGATCTCAATATTATACAGACCAACCAAGGAGTATGGAATGAAAGGGAGATACAACTGGCGCGGCCCGCCCTACCGTATGACAGTGGCGTAAATAGGGGGGGTTATTGGGCTTATTTACCCCCCCCCCCCTAGAATCCTGGTGGCAATTACCCCCTCTAGAATTTAAAAATTTGATTTTAAAATCGAATATCTTTTAAATATGCACGAAAATAATTTAAATGTGCAGATATTTCAGATTTAAAGTCAACATTTTCTAAATGATTTTAAATTCTAAAGTAATAGTCAATGTCATTATGGTTTTTTTTTAATAGAAAAAAAGGGTATGGGTAATGAAAAATACATTTTTACTTCTAAATAATGTCATTTCCATATTGGATTTATTTAAGATCTTAACATACTAAATTGACGACAAGAAAATTTTAGAAATTAGAAATAAGAATATAAACAAAGACAATATTTTTTCAAAGTTTTGCAGAGTAGCTTTTCTAAAGATTTAAAGAAGTAACATCTTTTTCCTCTTAGAGTAAAACTATTATTTTTTATCTTACTTAAAATAAATTCATTTTTTTACAGATCTTTGTAGTTAATGTAAAATGAATGACTTTAATGAAGAATATAAAACAAGCTGAAAGGTAGGAAATGAAGCCTTTTATGATGGAGTTTGTAAATGCCAGAAATGAATGGAAAATGCAAATCAAACCCAATTAAAACCAATAATTTGATATACATCATGATTTTTTTAGGGGAGGGGGTAAAAAAAAATTCGCCGCACTTCGCGCGACAAATTCTAATATTTTACGCCCCCCTACAGAACAATTATTTAGGCCCCTGCCGTATGATTATACATGCTTTGCAGACGGGTACTTCATTTGAATAAGAAATATTTGTCTGATGTACAATTACCGCGTATACAATAACCTATTCTGAATATTTCCTATACAAATGGAGTACCCGTCTGCAAAGCATGCATTATCATATGGTAGGGCGGGCCGCGTCAGTTGTATCTCCATCCTATTCCATACTCCTTGAGACCTACGAATTTATGTAGTTTCTTTAAGATATATATAATCCCGAATCTTAAATTTTATTTAAAAATATTTAATAATTTTAATTTGGTTTTAACACAAGCATATTTTTCGGTGTTATTAACATTTAAAGCAAGACAAATATATTAATACCTGTGTCTGCAACCTGTAAACCGTTAATATTTCAAACTTGAAATATTTGGTCAAGAAGAATTCCTAGTTTGAAATATTAAAGGTCTACGATATCAGTTTGCGAAAATACAAGGAAAAGAAAAATGAGATGATAATTATTAATATGATTGAGTTTCAGTTCCCTTAATTATTCTTTTAATTCTCTGATATTTTTTATATCTATGTGTCTAATTTTATGATTGAAAAAAAAACAGATTTACGAAGAAGACATTTTCAAAAATCATAAAATCTTACAATTTTTCGAACTTATATTGTTTCACACTGAAACTTTCTTTAAACATTATACCTAGCTTCCACGAGATTTATTACTTGAACTAAAATTTAAATTCGAATGATGTTTAAAGACAGCAAATAAACAAAGAAATATTTTATTTAAAATGTTACCAAAAGTATATGAAATTAATAAAGATAATGAAAGGTGTTTAAGACACCGCATGATGAATCATTGACGATCTTTCACATTGAATATGTAAAAAAATAAAAATAAATATTCTATATATATTGCATATATAATACAGGCTGAGTCAAAACTATTTTGAGATTAATTGGAAAATTGTTGTGCTTTTTTTCTGTTACAAAATTTTAACAATCTGATTACAAATAAAAGAGATATTACAAAAAATCCGCAGAAAACTTTTAGAGCAAAGGAATTGAGTTTTTGCCACAAACTCAAATCTTCTGATCCCAATATCTTTGAAACCTGATGGTGTAAACCTTTGATATTTCAAACTTGGATTAATTTATCTATAAGTTTAAATAGTTTAAAATATCTAAGGTCTACTACATTGGGTTACAAAGATATAGAGATTAGAAAATCATAGTTTGTGGCAAGAACTCAATTCCTTTGCACCATGTTTAAAAAAATAAAACTTAAAAAGTTCATTTAAACTGTTTATAAGTTTTCCCTATTATGAATTACAATTTAAATAACAAAATTGTTTCAATAGAAAGTTTCATACTGCCATTTTTAGAAGATTTGATGCAAATATAAAATTATATTTTTTTCCGGATTTCTTGTGATAACTCTTTCATTTGTCAATATATTTTTTTGAAACTTTGAAATATAAGAGAGTAAATATTTTCTAATCATTTTCTGAAGAAGAACATTTCTCAATAAAAACAGTTTCGCGGATTTTTTTTGTGAACCAAAAAATATTTTTCACTTCAGTTATTAATTTTATTTTAGTATTTTACACCTAAAACATGATTCCTGAGTCCGAATTTAATTAATTTGAGCCGCGTCTCAAATCCTCCAAAAACCGGTTTCAATTGAGCGCCGGCTTAAATCTTGAAACATTGAATACAATTTTA